AGCGCAGCGACAGAGGCGACAATGTCGATCAGGTGAATTCGTCTTCGATTGTCCGAGGTTTCGAGGTCAAGTAGCTAAGAGTAAACATGGCAGAGGTTAGACTTGAGTGAGGGGACAATAAATTGGAGGACGACATTGAGAAATGAGTGTAGGCCAAGGTCAAAGAAGGAAGAAAGCTCGCAGGCATTGAATGCGCCTATCTGAGGAGCAGATGATGGAGAAAAAAAATGCAGGCCAGCGGTAATAACAGTATATAAGTGGACTCGAAGATGTACTCTAGGACTCCAAAGGTCCGAGACAATCGGGGGGACTGGAAAGGTCAAAGTAAATAGGGCCGCAGAGCGTAGCGGCGCGGAGTGAATAATGGCGCGATGGCAGGAAGAGCAGAGGTATTGAGCTTACAAGATTTGAAGCAAGGAGTTGGTTGCACGCTGGTATCGCAATGCAGCACCAAGTGCTGTTGATGGACGATGAGGAGGAGTTGAATGAACAACGAACCGCGGCGTGAAACCCTCCAGAGGCCAAACTGCGCGGGAGGCGCAGTTGGGCTGGGAAAGAGCGTGATTGGTTGCCGGGGCGGAGGAGGCGTGGGACTCACTCACGTGATATGGCTTGGCATCTCCGCCTTTGTTGGTTTGGAGCAAGTGTCTGTCTGGCTCGTTTACCACATACATACCCGTTGATGTCGAGGCTATCAGAAATGACTGCTCCTAGATATCTTTCTATAGGTCCTTCTGTGACAGACATTCTTCTTGACCTTTAACTTCTTTTCTTGTAGCTTTTCGGCTATTCAGGTTATTCAGTCTGGGTACTGAACGATCAGGAAAATGAGACTGTGAGTGCCAGGGATTTATGGAGGAGGACTTCGCGTTGCATCTCTGCAAAGGCACGCCCACTGTATGGCCATCCTTTTGGAACACGCGTCAGAATCCTGGACAGAGTCGACCTGGGTCACTGATTGTCAGAACTTGGCAGCCTATCTCAAAGGTCCTGTTCCAAAAAGCCACAGAAAGACAGATAGAGGACGCTAGCTAGGTCGTGCATATTTGGGAGCGGAAAGCAGTTCTCATACAGGAAATATCATTTCATAATTATCGTTCGGTTGCTGGATTGCAAATACTATGTTATATACATTGACGGGGTGTCCCGCGAGCAGAAAATGCGGTGCCAGGCCAGTTGAATGGTCCCAAAAGACGAACCTCGTTCAGACATCAAAAAAACGATTCTTCATTTGCCGCCCCCTGCACACTGCCATGAATAGAGATGGAGTCTTGCCCTCACCTCATACTCTCGAGGTCCTAACCAAAAGTTTCTCGTGGTCTGAGAAATAGGAATCCAATCACGAATCTGTCTTCTCAGTCTCTTGCTGGGTCTCGTGCTCATGCTTGATCGTCCATCCGTTGAGATGACCGGTCCCGGCGGTCAGGTATGATGCAAATCCCAACCATGCGAGATACGGGGCCATCAAGTATGCAGCAGTCTTGTCCACTTTGTTCCAGACATAGGTCATGTAGCCGACAGTGCCGGTCAGGGCGACCACATCGAGCATGGCTTCAATAGGTCTGCCGAGGCCGAAGAACAGAGGCATCCAAATGAGGTTCAAGCCCAGTTGTATCGTGTACAATGTTGCCCCTCTTCTTGCGTTTTCAACTGTCTGTGGACTCGGGCTTGCCAATCCGATCGTCCAGACCCGGTGAGCCGCATATCCCATGAGTATATAGAGTGCGGACCAAGCCGGGGCGTAAACCCACGGAGGGGGTCTAAAGGGGGGTTGTTTTATTGCCTTGTAGTGTTCTTGAGCGGTTCTGAACTTTCCCAGCTCTGTTGCCGCTGGGTCCGAGAATCTCTTAGGACGGAGTCTCCCAGGCTGAGAGACAAGGCCAGATCCCAAGCCCAGTCCGAGGGGTAGAAGGATCGAGACGGGGGCATTGGAGAAGATGGAGGCGGGTAGCGTAAGGCCCGGAACGTACGCCATCGCTGTAGATAGATTGTACAGGAGGTATTTCTTAGAGTTTTGTCAAGACGAAAGCCCGAAGAACGTTCAGGATGTATTTGGTATCAGTTCTGTCGTTTGCAAGAGAGGGGTCGATCAGAGAAGCTGGCGGCGACGGGCGAAAGATATCATCGACAAGTAAATAGCCATCAGGTGAGTTGAATGTTTTGGGTTGCTCATCAGGTGAGCCGAGCATCGCAGTTCTGGCGCGTGGGGTGCGCATGACACAACTTGTACCGCGCTCCGTCCCAGCATCTTTTCCCGCAAACATCCAAAGCTTGCGATGGTCATGTTTATGCGCATTTGATATGCAATGTCAGATTAGATCCATGTATATCTTCTAGCTAATGTCGTTTTGCACTAATCAAAATATACCTTCACGAATGATCAAGCAAAAGCTCCCACTACCGCCATCAGCAGACCTCCTAGGCCCACGGCGAGACATGCTTCGATTCTGCGTCTGCCTTTCAGAGCCTCGTAGCTCTTTTCACTCAAGAAATCCTCCGCAATCAACTGCACTAAACCGGCGAAAAGTAAAAGTCCACTGGAAATCGCATTTGTGATACCGACCATCAACAGTCCCACCTTACTCGCAGGGTCATATAGCGAGTGCAAGACGATTCCCATAGCCTGGCCAATGGGTGTTGTCGCGCCATACGCGAGTGCCATGAGCCAGGGCTTGGGCGAAGAAGCATCGAACAAGGTTGGTATGAGTGCCGCAATGCGCGATCCTAGTGCAAATCCTTCAAAGGTCTGGTGGAAGCAAATTGCGATGAGCAGGACGGCGAATTGCGTGCCCTGCGCGACAGAGACGGCCATGCCAATGAAGATGCTATGAAATAGAATTCCCGCTTCGAGGAGCAAGCATTGGAGGAAGAGTCGCTGAGGGTTCTCGTCATCTTTGGTAGTGAGATGATGCAAGTTATTTTCATGTTCGGAAATTTTGCGCCGGTGAGGGTTGCTCAATGTCGCAGACTCGTCCGCAACTGGATCGAGGTCGTCCAGCTCCAGATCTGAGTCGCTCGATGCCGAGTCTCGAGGTTTTGGGGATGTATCTGTGTATGGCGTCGTTGGCACTTGCAAGTGGTCCGAGGGAACATGTCCATTGCCATAGACCGACGATCTTCCTTCTCCCGAGGACTGTTCCTCCGGTACTCTCTCCCATTCATTCGCGTGACTGTGTCCTGCGCCTTTGCTTGCAAAGAACATCTCTATCCCCACCACCATGAAAACGGACAACATGGCAATCAACCCGGGCATCTGCGGGTACGTCTCTGTCCAAAAGTCTGGCAGACAGGGATCGGTCATGGATATAAACGCCGTAGGGAGCAGGTGGATGAAGGCCGTCGCAATGAGGACACCTGTGCCGAAGTGCCGGGAGAGGAAGAGGAAGCGATGTGGGATAGGGAGTTTGGGAAAGCGACGGGCGATAATGGGAAAGGAGCATGCTGTAACACGGTCAATATGGACCACTATCTATATCAGATGGAGACTGCCTCAACTTACCGAGAGTGCTCAACGCCAGAATAAGGAAGAGGGCAAAGACATGGATGCCGGTGTTGTAGGCACCTCGTCTTCCCACTGTGCCGCACGCCGGCTTCGCGGGCGCATCTTGTCGTCTCTGTAGTTCTGCATGGAGGAGCTCGAGGGGTAGTCCGCTCAACGATGATGGCCCACGGTCATCTGATAGCATTTGTCAGTTCTTGGGTTGTTCGCGGTCGGTACATTCGGGAGCAGGAATGAACAACGAACCTCGAGCGATGAGCCCATGAGACTCGGGAAACATCACTAGTGTGCTTTTTTGGTGTGACCGTAGGATTGGCCATAAATGCCGTGAGAAATGACACTGTTGAGAGGTGTTACACGTCGTCGCGTTTGCCCTGACGCTGCGACCCCTCAGAAAAGATCCGAAGATCCCCTACTCGTAGGTACAGATCTCCCGTCTCTGAAAGTCTGGTCCGGCGGGACCAATTCCCTACTTTCCGACTCGCCGAGTTCTGCTCGCGCCTCATCCCGAATAGGGACAACGGTGACGCCGACAATGCTGGTGGTGCTATAACGGGTCTAGGGCCTTGGCACCATCTCGGCGGGTTACGCGGGCTAATTATCCTCTGGTATGTTCCCCTGCATCCTCTATATTCATTGTCGCACCCTATCCAGACGGAGTATTTGACTTCACCTTGAAGGGGAAATACATGATACATTTACGTACTTACGATCCGAATTCCGTCTTAGAGAGCTTTCCACTGGATTTGTCTGAATGATTGAGAACTAGCGCCGTTAACCCAACGCTGCTGGGCAGGATGAGCTCGTCTAGCCTTTGCTTAGATGGCGAGATATAAACCTACCACGATCTTGGTATGTATCGCGTATACCCAGACACATCTCTCTACAATGGGTGGAAGATCGCCCGGTATAATGAGAAAAGACACCCCTTTGGCTGTCTTCAACTGCTCTCAAATGCTCCTAAATGCTCCTAGGGCTATGCCTCACACGAAGTTGTTGACAGAATGATGAAGTAACAACGTCGATGGAATCACCGATGCTGTTCGGTAAATAACTTGTTCGGAAATCCACTCCAACAGCTCCAACGGTGTATGCAACAAATAATTATCCGAGGTGGTCAGACTCGAGGCTAATGATGCCGTCTATTCTATCCGTTCACAACAAGTTCGGCGGCCTCACGGTTCCGGTCCGGAGCTGGGCTCGACTTGTCCGTCAGGCCGAAGGTCGGCCGCTGAGTTGGAGCCGCCTCTATCCGAGCAAGGAGGCTGGCCATGGCTGCCAGGATTGTGTATGCATGCAAATCTGTCTGCCAGCGTCTGGTCAAAACATTGTGCGTTGCATATAAAGAAAACTTGACCGAGGTATGGTTCGAATGGAAGCTCTACTTTAGAGACAACAGCCAACCCACCAGAGACCTCGCCAAACCCTGACCATCCCTTTCTGTGTGGCCAAAACGACAAATCTCAACCAGACGTCGCAGTGTGTAGAATTCTCGAGGGAGATGAACGACGTCCGAGGGGCTCGTCCCTCATTACAGGCCTCGAGGCTGAGGAACTTGATGCTCCAGGCGGCGCAAGATGAGACCCAAATCGTGCCTATGGCCTGTAGCTACGACGCCCTTAGCTCGAAATTGACTCAGGATGCTGGATTTCCCGTGGTGTTTTTGTCCGGCTTTGTCGTCGCCGCGTCGCTTGGGCTTCCGGACACCGGGTATATCGCGTTCGGCGAAATGACGCAAAAGATTGCTGAGGTTGTGCGGCAAGTCGACGTTCCCATCCTCGTGGACGGGGACACGGGGTACGGAGGGCCGATGAATGTGAAAAGGACGGTTCAAGGGTATGTGCGCCTCGCCTCGCCTCTCTTTTCGTACGTGGGGACACAAAATTGGCCCAGCTGAACCGCATATCCTCCAGGTTTGCACTTGCCGGAGCGGCCGGAGTCATGATCGAGGACCAGACTTGGCCCAAACGTAGGATTTCCTCCCCCCTCAAAAGTCCATCGGGTAAAACAGCGGACCCTGACATGAACGAGCCAGGCTGCGGACACTCTCAAGGCAAGACGGTTGTTCCAGAAGACGAGGCGTATGCGCGGATACAAGCGGCCGTGGACGCGCGGAACGAGGGTCTCGACATTTGGATCCTGGGAAGAACCGATAGCCTGATCCTCGGCTATGACGAAGCGGTCAAAAGAGCCAGGCGATTCATCGAGATTGGCGTGGATGCCGTATTCGTCGAGGCAGTGCCGGACCGGGCCATGATGAAGCGGCTGGTGCAAGACCTCCAGTTCCCGTGCATGGTCAACATCATCCCAGGGGGGTGCACTGAGGTCGTCTCCACCAAGGACCTCGCGGCCATGGGATATGCGTGCGTGGTGTATCCGTTTGCGTTGATCGCAGCCAAGATCAAGGCAGTCCGACAGGCGCTGCAAGATCTCAAGGCCTCTTTCGAGTCGGGAAACCTCCCAGATACTCTAGAAGCGAATGAAGTCTTCGAGGCCGTGGGGTTTCCACAGTATTATGCTGAAGAAGACCGATACCAGTACACCGGCGTGAGGAATAGGCGCAAAGAACAGTAATCGAAACAGCTGATTTAGATATATTTAGATAATCGTCCCTCCTAGAATCCAGTCTCCTTTTGTCATGCCACCATCCAAATGAGTGAGTCGGCTGCAGTGGTACGACAAATCAAATCACGGACGCGTCTAGGTCAAGGGAGATGAGTCCCAAAAAGAAGGACTTGATGCATTTACGAGCTGAAAGCGGAATAATGTACACCAAGACTATTGGGAATTTCGTCACACAAAGTTCTCGTTCATCAAGGAAACAGCTCTCCATATTGGTTCTCCATGGGCAGATTCCACAAGAAGTCAAGAGAGTCGAGCTCGAGGCCCGAGGAGACGAAATTGCCCGAAGAGCTGAAGGGAGCGATGCTCTTGTCGAACGGTCGGGCCCACCAGTCCGCACATCCAGGCGATGTCATGTCGAGGTTCTCCGTGACGACTGCTGACGCCAGATCGACCTGGTTCTGGGTGGCATGCACGGGCAAAAGACCTGAAGGGTCCCCAGCCGCGCCTATTTCGTGGCAACTCGACCGACCTTCGTCGTGGTTGGTTTGGTTGTAGTGGTGGTGGTGGTGGTGGTGGTGTTCGCTATTGTTGATATTATTGCTGGTATGGCGCATTCCCCCAATCAACGACTCTCTCAACTTGGCCACTCGCTTCTCGATCAGCGTGGCAAACCTGGACGAGAAATCCATGTCATCAATGGGAGACGACCTCAAGGCCACAATACAGTCGTCCAAAATGTCCAGAGACGCCTGGATCGCGATGCTCCCCGACCCGATACTGATGGCTTTGAGGAGGAAGATGGCGGCCGAGATGAAACAGAGCGACTGGCGGACGGGCATGTATCGCAGGTTGCCAGACAGGGCCATTTTAGTAGCTGTTTTGAGAATCTCGCTGGCCCCGTCGACAACCTCTTGCAAGAAGACGTAGTCGGAGCTCGAGAAGCACGCCGATGTAATGTTCGTCTGCAGAGGATCCGTACCGTGCATCCCGCGAGCCAAACCTCTTTCCACGATGGCCTGCATCGACAGGGCGTGGGTATAGACTCGCAAGTTTTGGAATTCTATCAGTAGAAGGTCTCGTAGTGACTGAGGGAGACCTAGCAGAGTAGAAGGCAATTAGTTTTCTGCTAACCCACATCGTTGGGTCGACCTACTGTTCGAGTATGTTGCAAACCTTTCTTGCCAGCGCGTCAGAGACGGCCGAAAATGGTCCAACAGAATGGTATAATGCCCCGTCAAGAGCTGTTTCTGGGTCGACGCGGGTGACTCGAAGAATAACACAGAGGCTGTCTTGATCAGGCGGACCAGCTCTAGCCAGCAGTCCATAAAGAAATCCCAGTCCTTTGCTAGAGGATCGTCGCTCGACAGAGCAGAGTTGGCTTGGGTAGTAGAGATGGAATTCTCGGGGAGCTGAGTTGGACAACTGAGCCGAACTGAGAGGTTGGTCAGGTAAACGTAAAGCAACTTGGTCGTTCGTATGGACCTGGCCTGGACCTTGGGATCCAATATTTCAATGACGGGACCGTCAGAAAAGAGTCCTGATTTATAGGCCAGGGTCGTCGCGATACCGAGCAGCATCCACGAAAAGTGGTCCGACTGTTTGGAGGGTTCGAGGATGTCTTCTCGCCAGCGGATCAGATGGGAGTCCGAATGCGAGGTGTCGTAGGTCTGGCTGGGTTGATGGCTTGGACACAGATCGCCGCTGGTCTCATCTTCGGGAGGAAAATCGGCGTATCGAGGATGCCAGTCGGTAATCAAAAGACAGCTGTCGATGATGCTGAGGACTGACATTCTTTTGGCCGAGTGGGTTCCGCGTCCAAGAACGACCTGCTCAAGGAAACCTCTGCAGCATTGCCACAATCGCTGGTGAATCATGTAGCTGCGCACGACACCTCCAGCACCGGGCAAGACAAAGAAGCGTGACGAGATCATGAGGATCGTGGTACACAGCATCGGCTCTTCCGTAATCAGTCTTTGATGGGTCGAATGGCTTTGAAACTCCGACATGAGCACCGGGCTCATTGGAGAGAGGTACTTGAAAAACCTAGGGCGCATATCAGGAGACTATGTTAGGGAGGGGAGCGTAGATGGGGTAAGCACATACAGATCGACAAGCGTGACGGCTTCTTGTGCGAGGAGCCAACGTTGCCGGACGAGGCTATATCGGCTCCAGGCCTCTAGAGTCTTGTCCTCAACAGTTGATAGTCGAGATACCCCAGGCGCTAGGGGTGGACGGATGGTGTCCAGATCCAAGTGGCCATGGACGAATGGGTTGGCTTGCTCTGTGAAGCCAGCCTGCGGGTTGGAGCAGTCGCTGCTTGCGCTGCTCGAATTGGCCGCTACATCTTCAAGTCCGGTGGCTGAGTCGGCCGGAAACGGCGTGCCCAATACATCCACTGATTTGGGTACGATCATGATTTTGGACATGGCACGCTCCATCAAAGACGGTCGAGGACTAGCGGACTGGTGGCCAACGTTGCTGCTGCACCCTTTGTCTCGGGTCGTCGAGGGCTGCCCAGGATCCCTCTCCTCAGTCAGGCCCGCCGATGCCGGGGTGTTGTTGGCCATCAATTCGGCTTCGTGGCTCTTTTCAACCCATCGAGGAGGCTGACGCTGTCGACCCGTCTTGTATTCACTCTTAAAGACGCATTCTCGATGCTCGCGGCGACATTTGGCGCAGGGAGGCTCCCCGTCGAGATCGCATTTTACTTTGCGGGAACGACAACGCAAACATGCCACGTAGCTTCGTTTGTAGGTGACACCCTTTGGCCTTCCATTCTTTGTCGTGGGTTTCTGGCTCTGGTCCTTCTGTCCCACAGTCACATTGGACCCGTACCCTGGGGATCTTGCAGAAGACATCGAAGAAGTCACGCTGATGGGGTGATAGAAGTATTTGCTCTAGCCACGCACACGCTTCAGTTGTATGTGTCTTATGCTCGATCGTCACATGCGGACAAGGTATCTTGCCTTGAATCCAGGAGAGCCCCGAAACCGGAACACCCTTGTTCTGGTACCCCGCAAAATGTGTGCCTGTATCGGCTCTGTGGTCAGGGGAGGGTGGGGGTGTCCCCCGTATTCCAGCCTCACGGGGGGCGCGATATCCTGTTTTTCCGTACAGCCGTGGACACCAAGAAGGTCTAAACCATACAAGAGCCACGCTATATGACTGGCAAATACAAGGCTCCTAGGTATTTACCCTAAGACTTTCTTGATAATATTGTCAACTCTATTGGGTGCTTCTTCGAACCTTACAACCGAGCCGATGCTGACTAGTCTATTAATGGCTAGTTCACTATCCATGAGAGGCATAGCGCATAGATCTCCCGCTCCTATAGTCGAATTAGGACTAGGCTTTCTCGAGGCTATCTGTACAGTACTGGTGTTGGACTAGCCCAATTCCTAACGCCGCCGCGTCAGATGGAGGAAAGCATGTGTGATGGGAAGGTTCAGAATCCTACACGTTGAACAACAGTACACGAGACATGGATTCCATCAAGATACCTCCCAACAGCATCTCAGCATCACGTTCTGGTATAGGATGATCAATCCAACGGAAGTGGCCCCTGGTAACAAGTTTAGATAAATGAATTCCATGCTTATTGATAGGATTGCTTCGCTCCTTGTTCAAGGCACTTGCTGACCATCCATTACTAAAATACAACGACACCTTTTTGGTTACGAGTCTGAGATTGTCCGTCGTTACATCCATCAGTGTATGAGACCTCCCTTAGCACGCACTCCTCGCAGCAAGAACCCCCACAGCCTCTTCGACTCCTCCAATGCATCTGCGATGCCGTCCCAGCGTAGTATGAACGTGTGAGTGATGCTTTTAATCCTCATGTCTCCTTGGTCCGGTCGCTCGCACCGCGGATCAAATGGCTGAGATCACCCACGGGCAACGAGAGCGGAAAGTCCACCGCAAGCAACAACTGGATCACAAGCAAGTACCAACCGAGGAGACTGGTGACAAAGGTGATGGCGCCGGCGGCTACCAGGAGGTTATTAGCGTCGGTGCCCTGCGACGCTTTCCAGAAATAGCCAGTCAAGCAGCCAAAGGCCGGGACGAGGGTGGCAAAGATGGAGACAAAGACGACATTAGTCCTGAGCGAGCAGAACAGATAGACAAGGCACAGAAGACCCATGTAGAGGTGAAAGTAGCCGAATGTTGCCGTGAACACAGGATTCGACGCCGCGGTGGCCGGGTCATCGGGTTGATAGGCGATCGAAGCGTTGTAGAAAGGCGTCAAGGTCGCGGCGAATGTGAGCCAGAAGGCGCCAAATGAGGCAAAGACGACGCAAGGGAATGTATTTCCCAGGATCAACTCGAAGACACAGCCGATGATCATAAGGAGGCCTCCAAAGAAGTAGTATGCTCCTCTATACGAGGGACGTGACGTGAGCAAATCCGAACCACGAAGAACAGACCCAGACCAAAACTCACACTTCAGCAGCGCCCAATCCTCCTGCGCCCCTCCAACCCATCAGCACGTTGGACAAGGGGGTGACGCACAATAAGAAGCCGACGAGGCAGCTAGGGACAGCAGTCAGCAAACAACTACAATAACACCACGGTCCAAGGTTCGCTCACAGAGGTGTGGGATTTCCAAACGTCGAGCGGATGTTGTTTGACACGCGGTTTTTGGGCGTCAAGTATATCTTCTCAAATAGCTCCGCGCTGATTGAAACGCTGCCCGCCGTGCGGATGGTGTTCAACGCATGGTCAGGGTTGTCCCGTTCGTGATGGAGGTCGTGCGTGTCAGACACGACGCCGTTGTGCAGGGGTACGTCCCGACTATTGTTCTCCAAGTCTGCGGATTTGGCCATGATGTGAGGAATTCAACTAGAACGAGTAACTGATACACCCGTCAAGAGAATTTTGGGGGAGTAGTACATGAACCTCAATTCACCAGGTCTGACATACACGAGAAGGCCCTATATTTATAGAGCGATGGATCTGTACCACCTTTCAAATTGGGATGATATCGCAGACACCTTCTCGGACCCAGTCGACTACGGATCCATGGCTCCCTGACGAGCAGAAGACGAACAAGAAATTCCAACACCGCTTCTATTGCTCGTTCATCCGCGACAATAAAGTTGTCGGAATACTAGCCCCTACCTGCCCTTGTGGTGCTGACGTCGAGTCGAAGCCGTACAATTCACATCCCCGTTTGTGCAACATATGCTGTCCACCGCGCGGACATAGGACTGCACTAGCAAAATTGGAACTAAGCCCAGCGCTCGGTGCTGCCACTATTGGCGCCATGGCTATCGTCGTAGTCGATCGTTCATGCGAGGCCGAAGTTGATCGGGCCGGCCTATGGTCTCCGGGGCGGATAATCGCGGCCCAATTTGCAGAGTCAATCCTATTCGAGGGCGACGAGGGTGTCGCTTTCGAATGAGGAGCTACCAATCGCAGTATTCGGCCAAGTCCTCGACGTGCGGAGAAGCAATCTGCGAGGTTTTGTGCACCGACCAGGGTAATGTGGTTGACGTGTATGTTTGCATTAATGGGAACAACAAGACACCAGGGCTTCCCGATTTTACGGGAGGCCGATGTCATAATGCCCAGATCGAACCTGATCCGAGCGAATCTGTCTACTTCTTACTACCCAGTAAGCTAAAGCTCAACCGGTTGGTTGACATCCTCTAGAAGGAGGTTCGAATGCGAGTTCTGTGTTTCTAGCCGCCTGTTTGATGTTCCTTTTTTGTACTCTAATCTGTCGTGTGTTCAATATCTGTGACGGCAAGCAGCGGAACATATATTTCGATTCCAATCCGCAATTCTAGTCAATAGACATGTTGACAGACTTGATCTGCGTAAAGGCGAGCAGCTCGTCCAGACACTCCTCTCTTCCCAATCCCGATTGTTTGTATCCTCCAAATGGCACATTGACATAATGCAACGCCACGCGGTTCACCCAGACGTAGCCGACTTCGAATTTCTTGACGGCCCTGTGCGCAGTGGCCAGGTTCTGGGTGAAGACGCAGGCGGTCAAGCCATAGTCAGTGTCGTTGACAACCTTGAAGAGCTCGTCCTCGTCCGTCCACTTGAAGACGCCCATGATGGGGCCAAACACCTCTTCCCTGGCCAGCCGCATGTGTGGCTTGAGATCGGCGAAAATGGTCGGCTCGAAGAAAAAGCCCGTCAGATGGGCGGGCTGTTTTCCCCCTGTTACCAGCCGGGCGCCTTCGGCCAGGGCATCCTCACAGAAGCCCTTGACCCGATCCAGAGCGACGCGCGAGATCACGGGGCCCATGGTGGTCTTGTCGTCCAAAGGGTCACCCGGCACGAATTGCTTCTTGACTTGGGCGGCCACTCGGGCTAGGACCTCGTCATGGATGGACTCGTGCAGGAACACACGTGACGTCGAGCCGCACGACTGGCCGGCCCAGGAGAAGTTCATACCCTTTGTGATACCCTCGACGAGCTTGTCGATATCGGCGTCTGGATAGGCCACAAACGCATTTTTCCCGCCCAGCTCGAAGATCACGGGCTTCAACGTGTCGGCAGCGCCCTTGTATACGGCTTTGCCGGTGGCGACGCTGCCGATCAGCGTGACCATACTGACCAACGGGTGCGTCGAGAGCGTGACGCTGGCATCTAACCCACCCGGAAGGAACGAGAGAACGCCGGGGGGGAATACACCTTCGAGAATCTCTGCCAGGTACAAGGCCGACAAGGGCGCCTGCACAGGAGGCTTCATGATGACTGTGTTTCCGGCGGCCAACGGGGCAGCCAGCTTCTGGGCCGTGAACATGGCAGGGTGGTTATAGGCCACCAGTCTCACCACCACTCCTCGCGGTTCACGCAACGTGTAGTGGAAGGCGTCCGAGGCCTGAGGGATAGTCTCGCCCTTAACCATCGGGATCAGACCGGCAAAATAGTCCAAGGCGTTGGCGGCGGTCAAGGCATCTGGGACCATCATATTCACCGGGTTGCCCGTGTTGGCGGCGTCTAGCATAGCCAGTTCCTTAGCATGCGAGCGGACAATGGAAGCTGCCTTGCGCAACAACTCCGCTCTTGTCGCTGGGTGGACGTCTCGCCATGCCGGGAAGGCGGCGTGGGCGGCCTTGATGGCAGCTTCGGCGTCAGCAGCTGTGGCCTGAGCCACTCGAGTGATCACCTCGCCTGTCCCTGGGTTGTAGGTGTCGAGGTATGCTTCTTGAGTCTCTGGCTCATGCCATGCTCCTCCGTAATATAGCGAGAAATGCTTGGGCAGCACCTTGGCAACATGAGACGGAAGGCCGACCATGATTGATTGCTTTCCTCGCTGGTAGATTTCAATGGAATAGGAGCTAAAAGAGGACGCAGATGAACCCCAATGTATACCTTGGGGTCCGGCGAACAAGTTTGCTTGGTATCCATGACCGATCCTCGGTTAATACATGGGGGGAAATAAACGCAACGGACGGACGACAAGCCAAAAGCCTGCGCCAAATCAAGTCGTGAGTGGCACACTAGCTTGCAGCTCTGGGAGTTGAGCCCGCGCAATGTCGGATAAAGGCGGCATGTCACGATTGTAAGTTACTCTAGGTCAACGGCAAGATACTGTACGGAGTAAGTTAAGGTTGTGGAGGTGGAGAGTTTCAAAAAGCGGGGGATGGAGAATGTTGCTGGTCTAGCCCCGTTGGGAATGCTAGCCGGCTTGGTTTTCACATTGGAACGTCAAGTTTGGTTCCCTGGTCCTCCCCCCGATAGGTATCTCGACTGACCCTATACAGCGGCAAGCAACGAGGCTCACTGCCTCACCGTCCAAGCCCGAGGCGGATAACTTCGGCTTGTGTCTATTGGTTCCTGTCTTGGTAAGAAATCTTCTCCTCTCCTCAAGAAGAATACGAGATGGAGATTGACAGTGTCTTGGGCAACCCTTCGGCTGTTAAACTCCGTTCTCACTTGGAAGTCACGTCCGCTGCGAGACAGTAGACTCCCCATCTTCGGCGAGCTGGCTTCATCTGTCCCCCGCAATGTGATAAAAGGACACGGCCGTGGTCGTCGAGTCCGTCCCAGATAATTTAGATCTCTTGTTGTAAGTTTCTTCAGATTCCATCTCTGAATCCCAATCCATTGATCAACCCGGACCTTTCTACCCCCCTATCTTGGTCTTGGCCGTCGTCGAAACCATGTCTTTCGTCAACAGCCTCCCCAGTACTGGAGAAGTCTACGATGTTGTCGTGGTCGGCAGTGGCTTTGCGGTATAGATCCTTACGAACACCAGACAAAAGGTTTGATTTTAGAGCCTGATTCTAATCTTATGTGCAGGGCTCTACCACAACCCTTCGCTTCCTCGAGGAGTGTGAGAGACTCGGGAAGTCTGGCAAGATCGCGTTGATCGAGGCCGGCAAGGAAGGAGAACGATGTGGTGCCAGCAGGTAATCAGATTGATCGATTTGTTCTTTGCATTCCAGTAATCGTCTCTGACGAAAAATTCTAGATGGACACAAGCAGTCCTTCGACTCACGGACGGTGACACGGCTCATCCATCCAAATTGGAGCCTCAAAGCCCTAACCATCTCTGCAGATAATGTCTTTGACCCAAATTGGAAACACGTTATGAAGGCAAGTATCGATCTCTGTCCGTCTTGACCTGCCTGACTAACCCTCTGTCTCAGCGCGTCAGGTAAATAGATCCTTTGGTTCCCAAGGTGGGGTTTACGGGACTTATTTTCCTGCACAGCGGCGGGCTTGCAGACCAAGCATACTGCGAGAAATTGGAGAAGGAGGCGCCGATCTCGGTCGACTACCTCAAGGAGCGTAAGTTAGGACATGTCGGGAAATTCATCAGATAGACCTTTTGAGGACTGATCTCTGGACCGTACAGGCGGCGTCAAACTGCACCATCACTACGAAGAGAATCTCTTGGTCCAGTTTAGCACCCGTAAGTCCTCACCTCCCATTGTCTGAGTCGGCCATAGATTTCTGGAACTAACGAGCCTTTGTCACTCGCCGGCAGGCCAGCACTTCTGCTATCCCGTTGGCGGTGGACATGCAATCATCAACACCCTCTTCGATCACATTCGAAAGTACCCCAATGTCAAGGTCTTGTGGGAGACGACGGCCGAACACCTCCTGCAAACCGAGCAAGGCGAGGTTTGTGGAGTGCGAGTCCGACAGGCTGATGGAAAGCTATCCAAGGTCTTCGGGAAGAAGGTCATGCTGGCTTGTGGAGGCTTCGAGGGCAGCAAAGACCTGTATGCACTTTTCTTGCGGTGTGCCCATTCATATCCACATTCACATACTCATTCGATAACAGGATGGCCCAGTTTGTCGGCCCGCGTGTCGAACATCTTCCCGTCATCGCACCAGGGTTGAAATACAACACGGGATTCGGCCTGAAGATGGGCATGGAAGTCGGTGCGTACAGCTACATCGGCTTTGGTTTTGGGATGCCAATTGACCTTGTTTGCTTGCAGGTGCCCAAGTTGCGGGATCCATGAACGGCCTCCATGTGAGTAGTGACACCCCTTTAACCCAGGGACCAGGACTGTCCAACTGACGCAGAGATATACAGTGTGAGATGGTCGACTCTCGAACCACCAAGCCCGATGCTGTCATCTGGGGCCACAATTTTGGTATCGTGGTCAACAGGTAGGCCAGTCGCGTCCTTGGCCAGAGGGGAAAGGGAATCCGGGATGGCACACACAAGGCTGACGACCCAATCATCAGAGACTGCAAACGCTTCTATGACGAGGGCAAAGACTCGTATGTTACCCTTAGACATCGTCTGGCAACTACCATGCAGCCCCGACTGACATTTACAGACTCTTTGCCACCTTTGAGATGATTGCTCTGGAGGTTTGGAGAGGTATGGCATCAGACATCCCTCGACCGGACATGATTTCTGACATTTCTCTCTTTTTGGGACATTAAGACCAAGACCAAGAGGCCTATTTGTACGTGTTCTTCTTCTTCCTCTTGAGCTGGTCCAGGGTTCTGTATCCGTTGGCTAATCCGGACCTTAGTATCACCGACAAGCCCATCATGGACCGTTTTCGACCAGGCTGGGTCAGTTCATCAACTTCCTTCGCCTCCACCTCCACCTCTCACCTCCTCATCACTAGCCAAAAGGTCACTCAACTGATCATACATGTGACTGTATAGGTATTCGAGACCACCGACCTGGAACCTGAATCGAGCGACACGATTGAGGGACTGGCCGAGAAACTCGGAATCAATCCCAAAGCACTCAAGAAGACCGTGGACGAGTTCAACGCGGCGTGAGTTGTTTCTCCCTCAAAATCTCATGGTGTGATTTTTGATTTGATTTGACTGATCACATTTCCGCTGACCCTTGGGGACGTCTCTCCCAACGAATAATAGAATCAACGATGCGCCTCTGGATCTGCTCAAGCACGACGGAAAGTCGACGCGAGGGTATGTGAATCATTTGTGTCTCCTGCCGCCACCACCGCCACCACTGACGCTCGGGAATCTATTATAGCTTGACGCCCGAAAAGTCCAACTGGGCCGCTCCCATCAAAGTCGCTCCCTTTTACGGCTTCCCCCTTAAAGCCAACGTCACCTTCACCTTTGGCGGGCTCAAGACCGACCTCGACAGCCGCGTCATCTCCATCACCGGCGCCCCGATTCCCAACCTGTACTGCACGGGCGAACTCTCTGGAGTCTGTAAGTGTTTTCTTCCGGGATGGACAAAATCCCAAGCGTGATCCATGGGTAATTGGGTCTCATTGCTGACCATGTGCTCTTCTCTGCTACATAGTCTACAACGAATATCCCGGGGCGGTGGTAAGTAATTCTATCCTATCCTATCCTATCCTATCGTCGGTATCTTGGGTCGACCAGCACCTTTGACCCTTTTTCAACTCCTTTTTTTTTGGATCTTTTCAACTGATAAAACTCCGCGGTGATCAAACAGTCTGTCTTGCGGTCGCTTACCTTTGGCCGTCTCGCGGGCCAAAAATTTGCCCAGGATCTCTAGGCGGACCAGCTGGACGCAACAAAGGGTACTGGGGGTTGGTAGAAGTAGGGAAGAAGGGGGAAGGAAGGCAAAGCTGTGAGTGGGCATGGGCACATGTGCATTCAATAGACGTGGTCTCAGGCACCTATATAAAAAAAAAACCCAAGCCACCTCTTCTTCGCGTCGTCCAAAGATCTTCTTCTTAGTCAGGTCCAAAACCCTCCAAAATCTCGGCTTCGTGTCCATCATTTCCCTCGTGATATTGCGCTGCCCAGGAAACCCCTTCTCATGCATAATATCGCCGATCAGGCTGCAAGAGCCATGCATCTAGGTAGACCCGAAACTAGGCTGCCGTCCCACCCTTTCCAGTCGCAGTCTCAGGGTGATACCGGTTGATCACGGCGTTCCTCTTCTCCCCTAGGCTCCAGTGTTCTTATTTCACGGCATTCTTCGCCATCGTCTCAGTCAGCCACTGGCTGATGAACTGCTGAATCTCCTTGTTGTTCTTCTCAATGGCCAAGAGATGTCCGTTGCCGCGTATGCCCTGATCTGCCAAATATACATGTGTGACAGGCACACCGGCATCGTGGAAAAACTGGACTGTGTGGTGATCGTACGTGGCGTGGTACGACGCCTCAGCCGTCACCACGACGATGGGGATGGAAGCCAAGTTGGGCAGCTTCGGTGCGGGCGCCTTCAGCCGGGCTCCTGGAACATGGTCCTTGTTGTCGTGGGTCTCGGTCGAGTCTCGTGTGAATTCCAGACTTTTTGTGCCGTCGGGCAGAGGAGGGTCGTAGGTCAGTGGAGTTGATGTGATTCCAAAGGGACGCACAAAAGCCCCCGGCTGGACAGCTTGCGTCCTAGTGTAGAATTTGGGCATACCCGGGTAGATGAATGGCGGCCCGTTCGGCTCCAAAGCCACAATCCCTTTGACCAAGTCCGGACACTCGTCCGCGATATGCCACCCTATAAGACCCGATTGCGAATGCGTCACCAGAAATGCCGGCCCAGTACGAGACAGGAGGTCTTTGGCAAGAGGACGAAAGGCACGCTCCACATTTCGATATTTTGCAATGTGTCCGACCTGGCTGGCATAGAAGGCGTCGAAAAAGGCATCTCCTCTCTTGCCGGTGCCTGGCCACTGAGTAAGCAGCTTGGCCTGGGGGTATGAATCATGCGGAGGCGAAGTGAAGCATTCTTCCAGTTCCTCGACCGTGTAGTGGGTGAGTTCTCCCAGGTCGTGGGCATGATATCGTGACCTTCCCACACCCGGTTGGTCGACGACATAGCATTCCCAGCCTTCCTGGGCTTGAAGCAAGGCGATTCCAGGTCGACCATCTGGCGTGGACTCCCAGTGAGTGCCCGTCTGCGCGGCTCCATGGATGTAGATGATGGCCGGTCGGTCATCGACTTTCTTTCCAAAGCGTCGCACGCAGACCTGTCCCGTCATGTGGGTGCCTCGATCATCCTCGATGTATTTACCCCCAACGTAAAACACCTCGCAGAGGTCGGTTAGCGTCTGGGTACGTTCCATTGCGGCGGACATGTAGAGATGACTATGGATAAGCCCCGTTCTTGTTGAGTCAACGTATCTCTCGTCTGGAGAACAGGTGGTCGCCTTGCGCGGTCTACAATCGGTCACTTGCCGGTCGGCAGATGCTCGCTGTCCCACAGTTCTGTCCCCATTTTCGGTAGTTTCGGCGACGTTTCCGAATCGTGGGTGAAGGCAGAGTTCTGGCTGGGTGAGAGTAGTCGAGGAATGAGAAGGATCACAGGAATTGATAAAGTGGGCTAATGGAACCGAAGTTCCACCGCGCGTTTCTCCTGCGACAAATATCTCCTGAGTCGTGAATTGCTGGTTGCATCCTTGATCTTCCAGGGACCTCCATCATGATCTTCCTCGTCCGAGTATCGGCAAAGATGTTGCTACTTCGAAAGGCACCTAGCTCTTCCCTGTATTCCTGCTCTTATCCCTTCCGATGTGTCATGTCATCCCCCAGTGCAACTTCGTGATCATGCCAATACCTCAAAATCTCCAATGAGTTGTTGTCGAGTGAGGCACGTGGGATGGAGATGCCCTTGATCGCCTCCGCAGGTTTCCATGAAGGTTTCTCGGACTTCATCACGGGCAGCGCAAGAAGGTAGCGGTGAAAGATCAAAGACTGAGTCGAGTTGAGGAACAGAGAGTTACAAAAGGATGTGATGTGCAGCATTTTCGCGGAGCGAGGGTCATGTCGAGCTACCTGCGCATATACAGATAACAAAGGGCACATTATCCAGCATCTTCGGCACAATGAAACATCAGGCTTTCTTAACGCCCATCATCTTCGCGTGTGTACACCATGTGAATGGTCAACAGGCATCTCCTCGAGAACCCACAAACTTCACCTTGACAGGGCACATCACGCCAAACCAGATCTTCAGCTTTGTCTACGTGCCCTTCAATGTCTCCGCCGATGTGACGTCCATCTCGGTGCTGCAGAACTACTCGTTCAAGGGCGCAGGGAACTCACTCGACCTGGGTGTCTTCGATCCTCACGGTGTTGCTCCCATCGACAGCGAGACCGGCTTCTCCGGCTCACGGGGCTGGTCGGGAGGGTTCAGAAACAACTTCACTATCTCTGCAATCGATGCCACCCCAGGATATGTAAGTTCTGCAAACCACATGAGGCAGAAGAGATGAAGAACGACTTATCCTCCATCCCCTTGACAGTCACGGGCTTCTGATCTAATGTGACTTGAACCAGAATGCCGGACCTCTGCTCCCAGGAACATGGAGCGTAGTGCTAGGCCCATACGCAACCAATCGCTCGGGCATTGACTGGACACTGGACATCTCCCTCTCTTATTCCGCCATTGACTCACCACCGTGGACTCCTTCGCTAGCTCCCATCTCCAAGGAGCCCCTCGCCCTGGAAATGGCTCCGAGGTGATTTTCACATGCACACCATCTACTCGGACGGACGGTACCTGCCTAATGAGCAGATCGCGCACGCCCTCTTGTACAACCTCGACTTCGTCTTCTTCTCCGAACACAACACGGACTCCGGGAACAACAACATCGGTCGCTGGATTCCAGCGAATGCGTCGAATCTCCTCATCGGCCGGGCAATCGAAGTCACCACGCGCCATGGCCACTGGCAAGCGATAGGACTTGAACGGTCTCAACAGGTTGAGTGGAGGTATACCAACTCCTCGAACGATACCGGTTTCATCGATGCGGCCACTCAAGTGCGCAATTCCGGAGGCCTGGTTTCGGTCAACCACCCATTTCAAAACTGCTCAAGGTGCGACTGGACCTTGGACTGGGAACACAACGATGCGATCGAGGTCTGGAACGGCAGATTTGATCCGTTGGATGAAGTGGCCGTCCAGTTTTGGCAGGGCGAACTCGTCAAGGGGAAGAGGCACACCGCAATCGGAGGAAGTGACGCGCACAGTCCACCGGATATCAATGGCTTGCCCACCACCGTTGTGAGGGTCGCAGGGGAGAGGAGCCAAGCAAGTATCGTCGAAGGCGTGAAGAATGGCCGGGTGTACTTAGTTGAAGGCCCCGGGATGGAGATCGACTTTGGAGTGGTCTATGGAGGTGGGAGGAGAGCAGAGATCGGTGATGCCGTCTCTAAGGGGGACTTGGGTGCCGATGTATACGCGAGCTTCTCGTCTACCGGGTTTGACGGTGCGCATGCTTGTTTTGTCTCCGAAAAGGGGTATTTCCAGAACGTGTCGATCGTGAGTGAGCAAAGGATCCAGCAGAATGTGGCCGGCATGGACTTTATCAGAGTCGAGATCCGCAATGGGTCTGATGCGTTGCTCGGCTTGACGAACCCGGTCTATCTCCAGTAAAGTCAAGAGAATCCCATAATACAGGAGTTCACTGCTCCCGTGGTGCTTTTCATCTGCGCTAGCAACCAAGTAGCAGACCAATCAGGGGATATCGCGTGATTTTTCAGTCGACAAAGTGGCATACACTATCCCTCCGGACTCGATCTGCGAGGAATGTCGCCGTGATAAAAATATCCTCCTGCATTTCGTTAGCGAGAGTGGCTTGATCAACTCAATTCGCTGGTTGATGGTTCAATAAGTGTGGAGTTTCCAGAAAATCAATTCTTGCATTCGTTGCACAGCATTCCTATGTCTGTCGTCGTAACGCTAGGTAAAGGTACTTTTTCCACCGGTCTGTGGGTATGTTTGCTGTGCTGTTCTCTCCAGACCGTTTTCCGGTTGTATGTAGACGGGTAAGCCTCAGCGGCGCCCTTTTTACTTGGAAGGGATACCTTCGGCAGCCTTGGCCACCTCATCTGCAATCTTCTCCTTCTCACTGTCTCCCAGCTCGTCTCTTCCCTCTTCGAACACTTTGTCAAAATCGTACTCGCCCCATCTGATGTTGGGGTTCAACCCAGCAAATTTCCACTCCCCATCGATCTTCTTATACCAGTGCATGTTGCTGCTGTGTGCGTGTCCCTTGACGAGGACCTTGGTGCGGGTGGCATCTGTGTACTTTTGGTGGGGAACACGGAGCTGATGGTACCCAATGATCTCGGTGTCCGAGACCTTTTCCCAATTGCTGGCGCCACAGAAGTGCTGGGTCATCAAGCGCGGGTCACCAAGCACTTTGGGATCGGAGATCATGGTGATGAAATCGTCAGCCGGCATGGCTTCCCAGAGCTTGTTCAAGAAGGAGCGGTAGTCAATGCGAACAGTAGGGGCGACGATTTTGCGCAGGCGAGCCCAATCCTAGAATGAGACAGCCGTGAGTAAGATGGCGTTGCTAGAAAACCGAGTGTCAGGGAAAGGCCACTCACCTTGGAATCATAGCTCTCCGCCCACTCCCAGTAGGCGTTCAAGCAGCCTTGGTAGTCTATTGCACTCAAGAGTAGACGACGGTCAGCATCGATAACACAAGGAAAGATCGAGTCGAGAGAAGGCTGAGATTCGCCCCTCCATTGGAGTCGCGGGCACGTATATCACTCACCTTCAAAAGAAATCAGCTTGTCCTTTGACGCCATGATGAAAAGCAGCAGTATGAACTGGATAAAAAGGTTGGGAAAGAAGAGGGTCGCGTGAGAGTAGGATTAAGAGCAATGAGAGAGAGGGAGGGAGGGGAGAGATATAGTGGGAGCAGGAGGAGTAGGAGGGAGAGGGAGCGGGTTTGTTTCTTGTCCGCATCTAGGTAAATAATTGCACACCGCCCCTTTGGTGCCGTTTCTCATGTGTGAATTCGCCTTGGGTTATTTATTTCCACCGTTCACACGTGCGTCGAGCCCACACCAACCTCACCTGTCTGAACCTAGCGTCACCAGCCTGTACAACGGCTGGCCTATCTCAGGGGCGCCAGGACCAGCTGTTCCTGAGCAACCCATGCACGAAGCGGCGCTAAGGCGGACATTGGAGCGCGGGGCTGTAGAGGTTTGTGGTACCAGTGGGTGCTTGGGCGTGTCTCTAGGGGTGCTAGGAGTGCTAGGCGGTGCTAAGAGGGGTATTTCAGGGGGTGATAGGGAGTTAGTGCGCGGGGTCCGGTGCCTAAAGAACCCGTGACTTTTCACTTATCGGAGCGGGGCGCAGCCATTTTGAAGACAAGCAACTGGACTTGCTGCGACTCTGCAACATACGGAATACCGATCAGTCTATCTCAAGCAATAGCCAATGCCTCGTCCGCGCCGGAGTCCATCTTCCTCCTCGCTCCTCCCTCGCCGGAGTCCATCTTCCTCCTCGCTCCTCCCTCGCCGTTCGACCTTCAAATAGCCCAACAACAGAGACCAAATAAATGAACGTGTGACTTGGCTGATTGACTGATTGTCAAGGCATGGCGACGAGGCTGAAGAGGTGCCAACCCTTACAACCTTGACATATCTTGCAGCCTCACATCCCAGTTTGCTGACCTATGCTGCGTTTGAGTAGATGAGCGAGTCGTTCATCTAAAGGCGCGATTCCCTGCTAAGGCAAGGCATCTCATGTTCATCCACTCTCGTCCACTCTTGATGGCGGTTGCACCAACTCCGAGACGGTCTCAAAAATCGACAAGCCAGGCCCGTCTCAACATTCTTGAGCATCCCACCACATGTCAAGCGCCCCTTATTGTCCTCTGGTAGCCTCAGCAGGCTCAGTGCCACCTGCTCGTAATCACCAAAAAAAGGGTGTCCGCGAATGTCGTCTTGGCTGCTCTTGACTAGCCCATGGCCGAGTGTGACACAGATTTGACCTCCGATTTGGATAGCGTGGCCGTCAGGGTCGAAGCACGGGCCGAGGAACATTGAGTAGACACTGCCCTTGAATGTCAAACTGCTTTCGGCCACATCGTTGGGAAATCGCCATTGTCCTTGGTATTTGATTGGATGCCATGGGGTGACCAGCAACTCGCCCACGCGGCACAGCGTCTGCGCCTGGCCATGGACTCTCGTCTTCAAAACTGCACCCACCATTCGTGGCCCTTTAGGCGTCCATACCAGCATCCCTGTTTTGATGTCCTTGATTGGCTGCTTTGTCGTTCCATCCCCCATCAAAACAGAACAATTGCCTTCAAAGCAAGGTGCCGAAGACGAGTTGTAGCTGTTCATACTGACATTTCGGTGCGCTATGGTTCTCGTCCCCGTAACTTCACCAGTGGGGCTATACGTGAACACCACCCTCGGGGGACGAGATGGCTTGGGAGTCGGGAGATTGTCAAAAGCAGTGTCGAGCTCGGTGCGGAATTTGATGAAGAGTGGACTATCCTTGCCGTAGAGCAACGGGCCAGGGTCCTTGAATGAATTGCACATCTGACGCTGATGTGCGTGGAGCAAGCTGGGCAGATAGAGACGACCCCATTTATTCCAGTAGTTTTTGCCCGACGTCCAGGTGAGGGCTTTGGAGATCTGGCCTGCTGGTTCATCGCCGACGAGCTCCTCCAGGAGCGCCTTGAGTTCAGGTACATCTTTGTTAGGAGATTGTCGCATCACGCTAATAATGTCACCCAGGCGTTTCTGTGCTTCGACGAGAGAGCCTTTGTCCATGTTGTCTTTGCGCAGGCCATCAGACTTCAAAGGAAAGAGAGAGGATATGAATCCACAGAGTTGTGCTCGGCGCAAATGGTATTCCACCCAGGTGTGAGGCTTCACTGTCTTGTCAGAAAACATTGCACAACTCTGAGACTCGCGGGTAGCTCCGTTGGCGACGGTATACTTGAGCGTCACAGTGATGGCCGTGTCTTCGGGTATACCCTCTGGGCACACGAACACCACGTCTCGGGACTGGCCGTATTGAATGTTTCCCAGGTTGAGGATGTGTCCTCGCTCTCCGGCAGCGAAAGTTCCAGATGTCGTTCCTATCGAAATGTCCTTGGATAGCTCAACTTCCAACGAAGCCGACATGCCGAGCGTTGTGTAGAGATTGGCAACCGAATGGACGAATACCGTTCCGATCATGCCCGCGTCAGGAATGAAGGCATAGTTTCCCCTGCCTACCTCTGCAATCGACTGCATCAGACCGGAGCGAATCTGGTAGCCAAATCCAAACGTGTGAATGGTCGGTATGACGGGTCTGTCATGGGCTGCAGCCTCTAGCATTGGGCCGAGTTTTGCAACATAGCTGTATGCCGTCAGCGATCAATCAAAATCCCTTGTCAAAGGTCTCGCATTCATACCCTTGTTTCGGACAGAGATGATTTGGCTGGCCATCAGTCAGAACGTAGAGTCCTTGTATGTTGTCAACAAGCGGCGCTTCCGAGAACAGGTTTAACCCCGTGCGGATGCCGGCCCAGAGGTTGGTGCATGCATCATCCCGTAGCTTCTCGATCCTCGTCCATGTTGCCTTCTTTTCGGCAGGTTTCATGAATGTAAGGGGTTGGACGACCTATTAGTCTTCCGGTAAGCATTGTGCAAATGGTTCGGAGTCATGTGGGCCATCTCACCGTCGCATCATCTGAGAAAGTCACAATACCCAGTCTGTCACCCTGTCCCAAAGTCTCCAGGATGGTTCTTGCAGCGTGTTTGACGAGATCGAGAACGCTCAGCCCAGCTGCTTCCCTCTCATGCTCGTCCTCTACCTCTGGGAGCGGTGCCGCAGCCGACATACTCCCAGAAACATCGATGACGAGCACAATGTCGCAACAGGCGCGTTTGAGACCTTGTTCTGGGACCTGCGGTGGTTGGACAGACACAATGAACGCTTCCATATCTTGGAGGGGATGGATTTCGGCAACTGCATGGTCACCAGAATGTACTGAACGAGGGCGTAGAGGCAGTGCGCGGGGATGGTCCACAATGGCAAAGTCTTCCGACATGGTGCTGTCGGCTTGGGAGCTGCTCATGGTGCGAATAGGCTGATCAGAAGTGGGAAGTGGTAAGGATGTTGAGGGCATTTGAAGAGCCTGTGCGAGATGCGGATTGCTTATAACAGTCCTGTTTGATCTAATGTTTGTTTTTGAGTCAGTTCTCAGGCAGATATGATTGCGCTTGATGCCGCCAACCTTGTCATGCTCGCGCTCTCTTTGTTGTAATCAGGCGGTCTAGCTGGCTAGCCTCCGGCCGAACGGTTTCCTGCGCTTTCTCGGGATGGGGCTGTAGCAGACTTCTCGCAGTCAAAACAATCTGGAATGTCGTAGGGCAGAACCTGCTCATGATTGCGGAGGACAATCCCCTTCAAATAGTCACCTCGAAGAGGCAGTGAAGCTCTTCTGTGCCCCCGGTTGCCTGGTAGGCTCGTCCATCTCCTTGGCTCAAGGCTGATCCGCGTGGGATCAAAGGTCCATTAGCGTCAAGATACAGGCAGATGGAAGAGTCATCTGGCCACCACGTAGAGGCATGAACGGCTAATTGCCTGCACGGGTGTTTTGCCAAAGTATAAACTCCATCGAGGAGACCAAAAGC